TTCTCCTTTTAGAGATTTCTTACATAGGGATCTTTTTCCTTCTCCCTCCCYGCTTCAAATGAAACTCCCCTGCCTTCTCTGCAATGCTGGGCATCAAACCCAGGACCTGAGCATGCTAGGCCAGTGCCCTACCACTGAGCTTCACCCMCAGCCCCTGCATCAAAGCTTTTTATAGCAGGCGAAAGAATAGCAACTAGGAAGCACGTTCTGACCCTCTGCTTTTAATCTTCAAATACTCCGMGTATAGAAACTCTGCCTTTAAATGGCCCTGTCTAGCATCCAGGGGAATGGGATCCTGTAGATGCCAGCTCAGTGAACCTGGGAAAGGACACTTCCCACTGAGAATCGTGTCACAGCATGGATCAAAACCAGAGAGTCATTTCATGAAGCAGATGACATTTCACAGGCAGAGCCTTTCGATCGACACTCCACAGGCCATTCTGTTTCCACCTGCCAATCAYGAGAGGCTGCTGTTTAAGGAAGGCACAGTACGAAGACACAGGTGTCCGCCTCACGTCTGCTTCCCGGGGATTGTCCTGCAGGTCTCTTTAATTTTTATTTAAGCCAGCGATCAGCCATACCTGGGCCCTGCCTGACAGCACCCACCAACAGGCCCAAGGAGCCCATCGTCTCTGACATTTTTGGCCCCCCATGGTACCCAAAGGGTCATTCAAAAACTAGCTGTCAGCCAAACCCTCCCCAAAACCAAGAAGCTTAAAAATAAGTGGTGGACTTGACCTTCTTCAAAGAGGATGTACAAGTGGCCAAGAGGCCCACGAGAAGCTGCTCCGCTTCTCGGGGCACCAGGGAAGCAGAATTAGAAGCAGCCCGGGGCACAAGTCGCCCCTCAGGGTGGCTCTTAGCACACAACGAGAGTTTCCTCAAAACACAGCCCTGTGACCGGAGGCCCAACTGTGCTGCTTCTGGGGGCAAACGCAAGAAGGTCGAAGGCCAGAAGGCCCCCACTCAGTGCTCAGTGGCCCGGCCTTCTGGCCACATCTGCAACCAATGGATGGAGCTGAGTGGCTGTTGGTCAGCAGACAAAGGGACAACAAGACTTGTCCCCCCTCCCTCCCCTCTCTCCCTCTCCCCACCTCTCCCCCCTCCTTCTCTCTCTCCCCTCCCTCCCCTCTCCCTCTCCCCACCTCTCCCCCTTCCTTCTCTTTCTCCCCCTCCCTCCCTCTGGAGGAAGCAAGATTACCCTTTTTTCCATCTT